GACTAAAGATCAAGATTATTAGAAGTAAAAAGAAGGAATATAAAGTTGGTTTATTTAATCAAGGTTAAAATAGGTATGTTGCTATCTCTGGTAACCTTTAATGGATTTGTGCTGACATCAAGACTGAAATTACAAGGCTTTAAGGATTTGTTTATAGATGGGATATGGGAAGAAGAGATCATTTGTTGTATTTTATATTGTAGTTTACTAAAATTGTTTATACTTGTTGTGATAAAGCTTTTCCCCTTAAGCTTTAAAGAATCTTATTGGCAGTTCCATAAAAAAAAAAAGTATGAAGGATTTTCAATTACTCAATATTCTAATATGATTTTATTAAGAATGTTAAATACTAGAAAAAAGCAGCTTATATTAATAGATTCAAAATATAAATGAAGGAAATGTTTGGAAAACAGAATAATTGAAGTGAATACTAAGCATAGCCTAATGATTTTCATTAGAAACTAGAATTACAACTATCCTGCATGATCTACTGCACTATTTCTAATTGTAGCTTTTCATAGGAATAATATCTCAAACTCCTAAGAAAGTCCTCATGTTTTACAGAGAATAATTCCTAATAAGCAAGCAAATGTCTGGTTGAGTTCTAGAGCATATTAACAATGGCAAAAGGTGGGATTTAGTCATTTGATTTCTGACTTCCTTATTACTTACAGATGAGATCAGATACCATCAGTCTTTCTGCCTGATGGATATGCAGCTTTAATTCTGCAATATGCAGGAGACATTTGGTGTGACCACAGGAACTATAAAGAGAAGAGATTAATTAATTTTGTTGAAGCACACACCGAGGTAATGGTGGAAATGTGCCGTTTAGCCTTTACATCACTTACGTAAAATTTCAAATCCAAAGGAACATCTATCTTAAACATGTAAACTTCCCAATATAAAATAATCACAATATCACTAAAGATATTAACTTGCAAAGAAAAACTTGCAAATTCCTTTAACTTTTGCTTTAGTGCAAAATCTGCAAAGAAATCACTAAATGACAAATGTTTTTGGTGTTATATGTATCTATTCTCAGAAGCTTTTTAAGTGTGCCAGTTTTTAAGAATAGAAAAGCATTTGCCAGTGGTTGATACTCTTGGTAACCCTGATTACATCTTACCAAATGTTTATCAGTAGCTGTCATAGTGCATTTGGAGAACTAGAACTGTCACTTTTTTTGAGATTATAATAGTCATATAGTGGCTTATTGTAATTATATTTATTCTGGACAGTATTTTATCATTTGTTTTTCAGTCACTCAAGGCAAATTAAACAATATTCACAGGAATATGATGTTTGGACACGGCTGTTGGGCCTGGCCTTTGTCATGTGAAGCCTTTATGTTTTGATTTCTAATCTTCAAAGACTGCTGTGGAAAATATTATTTTTGCTCAGTTGTTTTGATGGTGAACAAAGTTAATGATTTCCATACCCAGTAATTAAACTTCTGGCAGTTGCTTGCAAAACATTTTATGCCAGAAAGCATAGAGCCCTATTGTATTAAAATCCTTTTGCCACTTCAGTTTTTGCTAAAGACCTATTACAAGATTTAAAGATGAGAGACATGATAAACCCTAGCATATGCTATAGTAATTCTTTAAGGTATTAACTTAAACATGAACTGAGTAACATGTATTTAGGACAGCCGTCATTCTGTTTTGGATGTACTAAAATTGTGACTTATCTTCTACTGAAGAAAGGGAAGAAATATTAAATGCCTTAGCTCAGTATATTTTTGAGCAAGTACTTTTAGAAGATGTTTAATATAATTAAAAATGGAATTAGAAAATGGTGGAAAGGTTAATTGTCAAATGTTGCTGAACTCTGTTTCCTTAGCCCATAAAACGTTTAGTGGCCAAGGTTACTCTGTTTTAAATAAAGTAATTGATCACAAGGGGCCTTTTGGGGATTGCAAAAAAAGGTTTAGCAACCTAAAGGCAGGATATCACTTGCTGATCCCTGCTCCAAAACAATGCCTGTCATAATGAATATAAACCAGGGTTTATACTACAACAGTTAGGTGGTGTTTGACAATAATGAAATTCTGTCAGATAAATATATTTTATCATCGATACTCTCCATTTTTATTCTGTTAATTATGTTTCAGCAAAAATTATAGTTATTGCTCTCTTTACCAGTTGCTTCTGATTCTGAGATCACTCTACCCTTTGAATTATTTTAATTTAATCCTTGTAGAAAATTCCTTTTTCCTCTCCCCATGCTTCAGTAAGAACTGAAGTAAGTAACTGTATCCGTGTTTTGTTTTTATCAGAGACCACTCAAGCTTTTTAATACATGAAATGTTTACAACAGATTCTCTTTGCAATTTTAATTCCTTAGGAAGACATTTTGCACAGGTTTTTCTGCCATAGTATTCTGTGCATTATTTGGGATTTTCTCTAAGGCATGCCCAACTCATATGGAATATATGCCACCAAGCCATATTATATAAATTTGTGAATATTGAGTACAGCTAGAACAACGCTTATATTTGGGATGGAGTAGTGTTTTCTCCTTCATGGCCCTGTGGAGGAAAAAATAGTAGAAAAAATTTTGAGCAGTTGAAAGATCAGCAATGAAGAATTTCCAATAGATTAGCTCATCCTTCTTTTGCTATTTTGAGAATGGATTGGATTTATGAAATGCAAAAAAGTCACAGCTGTTTAAAAGTATAGATACATTCAAACAAGCAGAAACATTTTACATAAAGATGGGATATCATACATTGGATGTTTATGATTATTTAAATTTATTATAAACACTCAACTCCAATGGACTCTGAGCAGCGTACAAAACCAAAAAAAAAAATATCCATAAAAACATATAAAACCTGTTAACTCACTGCTGTTTTTTCAAAAGCTACTTGTAAAAATAATGAACAGAATAATATGACAGGGAGATTCACTATGAGATATTATAGAAATTGTGAAAGATAGATGATAGATACATTCACATCATGGGGAGAAAAATCATCCAGAAACATAGTTGGCTATGCCTTCTTTAAAACTCATTGATTTGAAATGGGAAATACAGAAACTGCTTTGTAAAGGGAAGATCTGAATGTAATTGCAGTTACGTGTTGTTGAATAACATATTGTTAGCTGCCGTGTCAAGAAATTAATGTTACCTGTGTAAAATTCAGTAGCTCACATTGTTTTTTCATATCTTCCTCCAGACATCTGCCGAGCTATTGAGTTGCTGGAAAAGTTGCAGAGGAGTGGTGAGGTACCCCCTCAAAAATTACAGGCTTTACAAAGGGTCCTTCAGAGTGAATTTTGTAATGCAGTAAGGGAGGTAAGTTTTATTTTTGGAAT